GGTTGCGGCTCGAATCAAGTTCAAGACACTGATGCTTGCATATAGAACAGCTACAGGCTCAGCACCCGCCTACTTCCACTCACTACTACGAATTTACATCCCTTTCAGAAGTCTGAGATCCGCTAGTGAGCGACGCCTCGTGGTGCCATCACAGAGAGGCTCAAAATCACTTTCCAGAACATTCTCGTTCACCACTCCTGGCTGGTGGAACGATCTTCCCACCCCTATCCGGAATGCTGAATCCCTGACAATTTTCAAGCGACAGCTGAAAACTCATCTCTTTCGAAGCTACTTGACTTCATCATAAAAAATTTTTTTTTTTTATTCTTTATTTATTCCTTCTCTTTCTAGCTTGTACTTATTTGAACAATGTCTAAGAACTTGGTATTACAACCACTTCTTGTGTCTGTTTGCCTCTTTAAGAAGAATCACTTTATGTATCCCCCAATTGTAAGTCGCTTTGGATAAAAGCGTCTGCTAAATGACTAAATGTAAATGTAAATGTAAAGCATACTTAAAAGTATACTTTTATATACTAGAAAGTGGGCCAATTTAGTCCCAAGGAGTATTGAAATAGTACACTTACAAGTATACTACTAGTACACTGATATCTGTATACTTACTACATAAAGTATACTAAAAATATACTTAAGTATACTTACTAAAATAAACTTGAAGTATACTACTCTTTGGTAAGGGATAACTGGACCTTCCAGCGAAAACACTCAATTTGTCAATTTTTGGCCTTTTCAGTTCAATCATGGTCGCGTTGCACTAATTAATTTCCTCTTTTAAGTTCAATAGCCACATTTCACTAATGAGTTTCCTTGTTTTAGTTAAATCATTGCCACATTTTACTAATTTGTTCCTTCGTTTTGCATTAATCACTTCCCTCAATTTAGTTCAATCGACATGTTGAACTGATTTGTTCACTTATTTTTGTTAAATTGTGGCCATGTTGCACTAATTAGTTCCCTTAGTTTTAGTTAAATCATGGCCACACTGCACAAATTCTCTCCCTCGTTTTAGTTAAATTGTGACCATATTGCACTAATAAGTTCCCTTAGTTTTAGTTCAATTGTGGCCATCTTGCACCAATATGTTCTCTTGTTTTAGTTCAAATTTTACTAATTTGTTCCTTCATTTTGGTTAAATTGTGGCCACTTTAGACTAACTCTCTCAGGCCATTTCCACACGTACACGGGTATTTTTTCCTAGTTTTTCCTTCTTCCATTAAAAAAAAAATCTCCGTCCACATGAAAACGCAAAAGCATGCTATGAAACACTGTCAAGAGCATGCCAAACCAACAGGTGGCGATATAATCTCAACCGTAAAGCCATGTTGGCCAATCAGAAGCCTGAAAAAGTTTCCAGTAGGCGGAGATAACAGCGCAGGCTCCGACGTCACAAGCCAAAATCTCCGGTTTCGCTGTCTACACGATAACACTGCAACCAGAGTTTTTGAAAATCTTCACCCTGGCAGGAGTTTTCAAAAATGTTCGGTTTCAGTGACATTTTATATTTAAAGTTAAGCAAAATCAAGGAGTTTATAAGACTGGTTTATTCATTCTTTATACTGTAGACATGTAGAACATATCCGCGTTTGTGCATCAATGTCTGTAATGTGTGCTGTAGGTGCGAAACTTTTAGGAATCTTATCCAAGCTGTAGGCTTGCCAATATCACTCAGTCAGTCGTATCTGAGGATCCGCGAATGAAACTGTGACCACAAACTCCATTAACTTAAGTGAATTATATGGCAATAATCAGCAATATGCTTTCATACAAATAACTTTATTTTTGAATGTTTCAATATGCGTTGACACAAATTACTTATTTGAATTTTTCATTGATACAACATGGCACTGAGTTGTTAGAAAAGAAATGGGAAGAGACGTTATTGCTTGATGACGTCAGGAACCGATGAATCTGCTTTTTGAACCTGCTCAACGAGTCGATCTGTTCGAAAATAACCAGTTCGCGGAAATGAATCGGACTTTGCATCACTACCGCAAAGTACCATTTTGTTATCTTCTTTTGTGCTTCAGAAAAAAACACAGCGGTCATAAACTACAAGGTGACATGAAAGTAGATGATCCAAATGCACTAGTTTATTGAAGGGATAATCCACAAACATTATCCAAAGGCAGGCAAAGGTCATACACACACAACCAATCAAAACCCATCAGTTCGCGGAAATGAATCGGAATTTTCATCACTACCGCAAAGCACCATTTTGTTATCTTCTTTTGTGCTTCAGAAAAAAACACAGCGGTCATAAACTACACGGTGACATGAAAGTAGATGATCCAAATGCACTAGTTTATTGAAGGGATAATCCACAAACATTATCCAAAGGCAGGCAAAGGTCATACACACACAACCAATCAAAACCCATGAGGCAAACAGAGTAACCCAGAAAACAGGCAGAATAACAATACCAGGAGCAAAGACACAGGAGAACCAGGACACAAGGCTTAGAATTGCAGTAATGACACTTTCAAGACCTGAGAATGAATGACAAACAGGCTTATATAGGGTGAGCTAACCATGCTAATGAGACACAGGTGCAAACAATGAGTGCTGATGAGACCGGGCAGAGGATTATGGGGCATGAAGAGCTGCTGAAACAGTTCTACTCCGCCATCATTGAATCTGTCCTCTGCACTTCAATAACTGTCTGGTTCAGCTCAGCTACCAAATCTGACCTCAGAAGACTACAGAGGGTAGTCCGGACTGCTGAGCGAATCATTGGTACAATCCTCCCTTCTCTCCAAGAACTGTACTTATCCAGAGTGAGCAAAAGGGCTGGCAGAATCACTCTGGACCCTTCACATCCAGCACACTCCCTCTTTGAATTGTTGCCATCTGGTCGACGCTACAGAGCTCTGAGCACCAGAACGACCAGACACAGGAACGGTTTCTTCCCTCAGGCCATCCATCTCATGAACACTTGACAATAACCGTGGAACACACACTATGTATTCACTCATACACTTATTTATCTAACACTCATACTCAGCCTACACCTCAAATTTGCACATAATATACAGTACCTGTACATAAAAAAAACAACAACAACAACTGTCTATTGTCATATACCTGCACACACAATTGTCAATTTATATATTTTTATTCCTTATTTACTTGTTCTATTTTTATTTTTATTATCTGTGTTTTTTGTTCTGTCACTGTCATTCTGTTACACTGTGGAAGCTTCTGTCACGAAAACAAATTCCTCGTATGTGTAAACATACCTGGCAATAAAGCTCATTCTGATTCTGATTCTGATTCTGAAGTCCTTGATAGAATGGCAAAAGTTTGGGATAGAGTGCCCTCCAGCAGGTGATCGTGACAACTGCAATGTGCTGCAGAAAGAGTAAGGCTAGTACAGTATGGTAATATGCTATTCTGAACATAGCCAAGAATTAGACTACATACAAGGAAAGACACAATGGAAGTAGGGGAAAAAAGAAAGTAAGAGAGAGAGAGGGGAAGCGAGAGACAGAGAGTGAGGAAAATAGGTCATGGTTTGGGGGGGGTTATATATTTAGCGAGACCTTCCTCCATCACTGACACCTATTTTTTATTCACTTTGGTTCTATTTTCACAAGCAACTGTTACATTTTCAGAACTCTTAGTACTAATATCACAACAGATCATCATGGACATTTTTGCAAACATTTCAGCATATTTTCAATTGTCTTACAATACACACAATCACAAAGTATATTTTTCACTACACAAAACAAGTGTTTCATCTACAGTATATAAATGTTTAATTCACAGTAACTGCCTTTCATAAAACTCTTAATATCAGACTTTTAATTTGTCTTCTCATTCAGTTTAATACATTTGTCTAGTATTTCATCTAACTCATTTTAATGGTTAATCAGTGAATCGTTTGGTGCATCTATAGATATGTATAAATATAGATTCAGTAGATACAGTTTCTATAGAACTTGTTTGATATTTTTTATTCACTTTGGTTCTATTTTCACAAGCAACTGTTAAATTTTCAGAACTCTTAGTACTAATATCACAACAGATCATCAAAAGTGGACATTTTTGCAAACATTTCAGCATATTTTCAATTGTCTTAGTACAATACACACAATCACAAAGTATATTTTTAACTACACAAAACAAGTGTTTCATCTACAGTATATAAATGTTTAAGTCACAGTAACTGCCTTTCATAAAACTCTTCATATCAGACTTTTCATTTGTCTTCTCATTCAGTTTAATACATTTGTCTAGTATTTAATCTAACTCATTTTAATGGTTAATCAGTGAATCGTTTGGTGCATCTATAGATATGTATAAATATAGATTCAGTAGATACAGTTTCTATAGAACTTGTTTGCAATTTAGGGATAACCAAATGTAATGAATTATTTTTTCACTATAAGTAATTTATCTTAGATGATAACCACTATTTTATAAGTGTGTGTGTGTACCTACTTAACCATATTTTGGGGACAAATTCAAATATTTTGTCTGGGCAAAACCAGACAAAATCACCCAAAACCTCTCTTTGAGGACGTCTTATATGTAAAACTGTGTGTTTTGCCATTTGTGAACATACTGCAGGATACAAGGGAGAGGAACTGATCAGAGATGTGTCAGAAGAAGGGAGACAGATGGCATTAAATACAGCATTTTACATTACATTATGCCACATGACACTGTATGTAGAGGAATATACCATGGTAAAGTCTGCACACATAACTCACCTTCCATCTGAAAAGTTCAGTTACAGTATAGATTCAGTCATATGGCACAGTGAGGACATTTACTGCATTGACAGTAAACTCTTTTCTAGCACAAAACCTTATGGCCACGTCATACCTCCATACACCTTTTGATAAATAATTTTACAAACATGATGGATTTTATTTGAGTTATGCAAGTTAGGTAACGTAAGTGTATTTTCTAACGTGACAATTATTGCCTGTATTACTGTAATTATTTCAGCAAAAAAGGTGGTTTGAAACGTGTATCTTGCATTGTTTGCTCTTGAATGAACTGATTGTTAAAAGTACTAAATTGAAAGAAAATCATACTGTTGTGTTTTGGTGATTAAATCAAATGTTCTCAATATATATTACAATAATCTTATATTTTGAAACATTGATTATGCTGATGGAAAACTGTAAATATATGATTTATAATATAAAATGTATAATTGTAATGAAAGCATGCGATCAGTTTTTAAATAATGACTAGCGATGTTACAATTGTGATCAGTTTTTATTTTTGTACTAAGAGTTTTGAAAATATACACCTTGTGAAAATAGCACCAAAGCAAATAAAAACAAAACCTGTAATGCCTTTTATGACTGCCTATTTATCTTTACATTTGCATAAGTAACTTTGAATTAATCTAATTACTGTACACATGCTCTTTATTTGCTTTATGCATAAGAACTTCAGTTTCTGGATTAATAAATCCTGATTTGTTCCTCACTTTTAACATAGGATCCATGGAACTTAGGATCATTTTTTTTGGCAAGCACTTTTTTTTCTTTTCTTTTTTTTATAAATGAGTAGTAAATTTAATTTGAATAAAATGTAAATTTCAAGGTAATCTGAATAAAATATCTCTGATAGCATTCAACTGTACACAAATTTTTTAAAATTCTGACATGAATGTAGCATTATTGTGAATGATTTATCAGTGCATTCTATTCTAAAGAAAACAATAATCAGCAAAATGTTAAAATGTAGGAATTTATTTATTTAAATTTTTTTTTTCCTCTCAATTTATGTATGCCTTGTGGCCGGGTGATCCAATTAAATCAAGTCCTTAATTATTTACTACTGTTTGTTTCTGTCATTTTGAAAGTTATATTTTTTGTTTGTTGTTTTAAATGTGTCATTTTGTTTTTAAGAACCGAATGGCAGATCACGGTGGTACAATAACGTTAATCTCAGATTGTTTCAGAAATAATTTTTCTTTTTCACTCATCAAACGAAGGACTTTGAAACACTCACGTAACGTCTCCTGCGTAGTGTCGGATACGGAAATCTCTATTGAACTCCATGGTCTTGTCGGCAGGACAGAGCTGAGAGAAAAGAAAAAAAAAAACGTCTGAGTTTCAGCAGTGATGACTTCAACGGGTATCAGACTGAACATTTTTGTTTCTGTGTGCATGTAATGTGAAAGAATACTGCCTCCTTCTGACCCTACTGCTAAACTGAAGTCAGCCCACTACAAGTCTGGTCAAAAGAAGTTGCAGTTTTGTTCCATAATTCATGGCAGGCCTAAAAATGTCCGCTTATGTGATCGGAGGATTGCTGAGGCAAGAAGGAATGGTTTCTCTTCTGAGTGCTTACTTTCCGGGAGGTGTAGTGAGGGTGCTGGCCCAGCTTTTTGTTCATGCTGTCCAGGCAGACAGTATCTGTGACTTTCCCTGCAGTGAGACAGGCTTCATCCAGGATGGAGATGATCCCCTTATGAGGCTGCTCCACTAAATCCACTATGATCTGATTGTTAAAGTATTCGATCTAAAAGAAAGAGAAGTCCAATTTAGAGAAAAGGTGCATGGATTTTTATTTCAGGTTCAGTATGGATTATTTTTGTGTATTATGCTCACATGTTGCCATGTGATACCCTCTCTCTGGTACTCGTCTTGCTCCTGCCGTAGAATAAGCTCAATGAAGAGCTGCTGTAGCTTCTCGTTGCAGTAGTTAATGCAAAACTGCTCAAAGCTGCAGACATGAAATGGGTAAGAAAGAACCAACCACTAAAACCAGTCAAAAAAAGTCCCATGTATTTGAAGACTTATTAATGCCAAACAATTACTACTCAATTCATAAATGACACTGACCTGTTGTTGTCAAAGATCTCAAAGCCATAGATGTCCAGTACACCTATAACAGTGTTTTTGCCATGCAGGGCGGGATTGTAGTCCTTCACTTCAATCACACTATTGATACGACCCACTATCCACGCAAATAATCTCTCATATAAAGCCTAAAAATGAAAGCCGTGCCTTAATGAAAACAACTAAACATCTCATATGAACATATAATACAGCAAAGACATATTTAAAGTGGTCATACCAACATTTATCATTTAATTTCTTCCCTTAAGTTCACTTTGCACCAAAAAACTGTTCGAAATTGTACATTTTCCACACTCCCCCGACACCTAACTGACATTATTGATGTAATGTGGGTGTTTGTGTAAATGTATTCATCCCTTTGATATCACAAAGTTTCCTAATGAGCTGTTTCTGCAGTATATAGTCTTTCAAATGAAGAGCGGCTTACATATCACATTGAACTGGTATATTTTAAAGGATGAAAGAAAATTAGATGTTCCCTTCCATGGGAACTTCGAACTGCGTCCTCCAGGGGTCGCTATGGGGAATGCCTCATCGTGACCCGTGTCTGAAGGAGACATTGAAAAAAAATACCAACTTGTTGGCCGGCGACAGCCATGACGTCACTACCGGTGCGACTATAGTATAAATAGGCGCCGGGAGCTACACATCATTCTCTTCTTCGTCTTCACTGACTGTTTTGTTTGAAGCATGCATTTCTGTGGTAAGAGCCATCTCTATTTATCTCATTATGGCGAGCACTAGCAAAGCATTTAAGGATGTGTGCATCCATGTTGACGTTGTTTAACATCTGATGACACACACGATCTATGCGTTGTTTTGTTTGGGCAAAGAGCACGCACGCAATGTCTCCGAGGGGGCAATCGGCGTGCACTGCGAGCGTTTTTTCCAAGGAAAAAAGCTCCGCTCTCGTTTGTCTCTCTTTTCGAGGAAAGAGGGGCAGCCATCTGCTTCCCGCGATCCAGGACCCGCCGCTGCTGAGGCACGGAACAGAGTGATACCTCAGTATCTACTAATTTCCTTCGTGGGTCTTACATCCGCCCTTATCTTCACCTTCCTAAATTCCCCTGTAACCACCATCTCTCCACCTGACCGAGGTTAGGTGGGAAATTTCCTGCATTATAGTCTCCTATACTGGACCTATTAGGTTTGGTTGGTTCTATGGCTTCATAGTGACCATCTTACTGATGGTCCGGTCTAGAGGCTTCTCCGGACAGAGCTCCGACGCGGGAACCATGGTGGGTGAGTATGATCCATGTCTAATATATGTATATATGAATATATATGTGTATCTAATGAGACTGGTGGCTGTGTGTAAAGTAAACCCTTCTGCTAGTTTCTTTGCAGTGTTTCCCGGGACCTGTGTGTTTCTGTCCCTTTCTAGGGTAGGTCCTCGATGGGCACCCCCTCTGCTGGGTTCAGAAACCGGGTGCTCGACTTGCAGTGCTTATTTCACTCATCGATATATGTCCAGACGGTAAGTAAGCCGGTTTTCGGCTTCATACTTTCTGGATCATGCAGCCATAACACAGGCTTCTGCGGGAGCCTTCGTGATCATCAGGCCCCCGGCGCGTCACTGCAAAAATTCCTGGACGTCCGGGCTGGGGTTACGCTTTCATGCTACCCTGACTGGTCTACCGTATCTGGGTTGCCCTGAGGGGTTTCCCAATCACCAGGATATCCCCTCTTGCTGAGGCATCGAGCGGGAGGCATAGGTGGCATTACGAGAACCTTCCTGTGTAAATGCTGTCTCGAGCAGTGCTCCCCTC